GACCTCCGTCGAATTTTACAATATAGACAATTCGAAAAATCGAAATCTTTCGAACCTTTCGAACCGCTTGATTCGATCATCGAAACTTTGATTCGAAAAAAGTTCGCGGCATCCCTATTTATAGTACTTCACTCCAAGTAAGTACATTGCATCCAGTGTACTTACTACTTTATTTCAAGTACATAACCTCTCATTTACTTTGTACTTTACCTAAAGGGGCACTGAAGTTGATTCTGAGATTGTCCTTTTGTGGTGATAACTTAATCTAGGCGCTGTAAGCATCCCAACAAACCTGAAATTACAATCGTGCGTAGCTTGATTCCTCGTTAAAAGCATGTCCAAAGATTGTGACACACCCTTTTTGGGAAGAATTTTCTTCCAAGTGAAATGGTAGACAAAGGGCGCTTGCCAGCAAGTTGCAAGTAATGGCTTCGCCCGTGGCGAAAAAGAGGAGTCTTATCCGAATGTGTACCTAACAGACTTTCTTCGAAACTATTATAACAAAATCATTTGGAAAATGCACGTGTTGTAGGGCTATCAGTCGACTATCATGAAACTCGATAGCATACTACTCGTATTAAGAGTTGACTACCGTGAAATTGTTTATAGTCAAATATCAAGAAACTATCGATATTCAACCGTCGTAATGTGGCTTTATTAGATGACGGATGAAGAATGCCCAGGAAATTTTGTGTAGCTCTGAGAAAAACACAACTGCAATTAGCAACTTCCCCTTTAGGTTTGTTGAAGGTTTTTTGCTGTTTTATATTACTTTCCGGGGTGTGCTCGTTGCCTCTTTTGCGCTCTATCAGAAAAATTTATATCCCAGTTGCCTCTGATAAGTAAACTATGTGTGTATTCCATAAATCCGGAACCCTGCTTGAATACAGTGCTAGCGATGGTGATCGAATGTGCATGTATGGGCACATGACTTTACCCAGATGAAAAGATAATTGTGCCATTTTTGCAAAGCAAACACGTTGCGAGAAAGGGAGGAAACAATATTGTTGTTCGGATAAACGAGGCTTTTTCACTGAAATAATGTCTCATTGCCAACAATATCGTTACTTAAATCCCAAGAAATTTTCGTTTTTATAATAATTTATTTTTGATCTAGTCAACACTATGTACCCAAACTTGTTGTATTTGAAGAATGAAAAACTAGAAGCATCAGTAACTATGTTTTCTTGGTATAAGCTTTCATGTAATGTTGAACATGAAGTTGCACAACAAAATCTCTGTTCCATTTATTGATTCAAATATTTTTATTTATAGATTATGTGATGGCTTCTGTATTTTGAAGTTGCTTTTTATACCAGCAGGTAAATATTTTCCCAGACACGGCTATTAAACTCTGCCAAAATACGAAAATACAACCAAACAAAAAGTGGCAACATATCATGGCATACAAGTCTATGTGCTTTCGTCAACAGCTGATTCCAGATTTTCGGGAATTCGCTATAAATGGTCGTCAGGAGAAAACAAAATTATCGCCAGCAGAGTGCTGATTTTTACCTGTCAGTGGCCACGGCTTTGAAAAGGAATATGTGTCAATTGAATAATACAGAAAACACAAGCATGAAACAAACTAGTGAAAACCCTGATGCTAAATGTCTTCAGTGAGGGTTTTCCCTAGAGACAAACAAAAAAAAAAACTAAATATACTGAATGGTTTTACAAATGCGGGAATACTAAATTGTGAAGCCTGATATCTAAACCCCATGAATATACAAGATATGTGCGCAGGAAAACTGGCAAATTGCCATTTTTGTTTTACCTCTAAATTAATTGTATGAGAATGCAACTCTACATTCTGTTTCCTTTCAATTTCATGTCTTTCCCAAAACCATACGTTGCCTGCCCGTACATATCTGTAGACATTTCCTTTTTGGGTAGTGCTTTAATTTTCCTAACACTCAATAGTTTTCTGAAAGCCGACTTTTGATAATATCAATAGTCGACTGAAAGAAAACTATCGATAGTTGCATCGATTGCACTATCGCTAGTACAATCGATAGTCAACTATCAATAGTACTATCAGTATCCAACAATCGGTAGTCAACTATTAATGTACTATCGATAATCAATTTTTTTTTTTTTTTTTTACAGTTTTGCATCACTACTTACATATCATTGTAAGCCGTTTTTCTGCTTATTAAGGGGTTGTGTGAGGATACCAAGGTATTTCGGAGAAGCACAGCGAAGCTTCCATGGTCGTGGCACTTAGCAATTCATCTTCATTTTCAGCAGTTGGTCCTTTTAGAAGAAGGTCTAACATTGTTGTGCCAACTTCAGCTAGAAACGCTAAGCTGATGCTCCACCGCAGTCTCCTCCGCTGATGTGCGTATTCTTCTAGGTCGTCGCCCCGCATTCTTTTCTTTGAGAAGAACATAAAATAAAGGCTCCGAGACCGCAACGTTTGTTGTGCTGTAAACACTTTATTTTTGCAGTCATGTGTTTCGTGGATTTTGCAAAGAATGAATCTCGGGAATATTTAGTGAAATGACATGTTACGATTAAAAGTTGTTCGCTGTGTACTGGTTGTGACAAAGCGATGTATTCGTGTGATAAATTTTCCACAATATTTTTAAATCAATAAATATTTAAAAATTATCTATTCGCAAAAAAACTGCTTGTTTAATATTTGATGTGTTTTGCTGAAACAATAAAGAACAATATTTCTGTCTCATAAAAAAAAAAATAATGTTCAGAAATATAGTTGTCATTGATGTTCCCTTGTCAGTAAAATGCTTTATAGACCAGTTGTGTAAATAAACAAACCACCTGAGGAACCCAATGGGGCAAGCAGATGCCAGTATGCAAGAAGAGTAGCAGCTTGGCTTTCTTCAGTCTTAGCTTACACTCTGTTCAGCCAGAAGCTGAAGGTGCGGTGGGAGCTACGTGCTGGCCAGACCATTCAACCGCTTCCTTTCATTGCCGACCCCGCTCTCTGCACTCAGGTATGGGCAAGGGCATAACCACGTGGGGAAGGATAGGCGTATGACTAGTCCGACAAGCACGTAGCGTCCACGGCACTGTCGGTACTTCAGTCCGAGGGTCAAAGTGAAGGGCAGCATAATGAGGGGGGAAGTGGGGAAGAAAGAAGGTGCGGCTTCTGCATTTTGTTTGTGTAATTACAAACTGGCTGCTAGACTAATCTTTTCTAATCCTAAACGGCAACGTAAAAAGGGAAGGGTTCTTTCCTTCTTTCTTTTTGTGGGAAAAATGCCGAAAAGAAAATCGAGGACAGTGGAGAGTAAGCTTCCTCCTTTCTGCTTGTTGATCGGCCTTTGAAGCACTTTTTTATGTACTTTACGCATACCTGAGAATTCCCTAACGATTTCAACCAGTGTAACAATGGAGTATCTAGAGATTAGTGATAGGGTTTCTTATGGATGTATTTTGAGTAGATGCTACCATCATGATTAACAATGCCACATTAAGTAAATTCAATCATAACAACCCTCCCAAGAATGACCAATATGTGATGCGCTTTTCTTCTGTGAGCTCATCCACGGAGCTTTTGAATGCCATTACCCCCTGTCTGTTATTTGTGCCCACATACCTTGGCACGCTTTAATGAATGCTAGTAACTTTCATCCTGATTTTGTAGCAATGACTACAAAGTTTCACATGACCAAAATGTCCTGATTTTGTTAGCAATGGCTTTCAAGTTTTGCAGGACCAAAACATACATTTCAAAATGACACACACCTGTGGCTTTTTCGTATGTCTATAATTGCTTTGATTGTTCATGCCTCTCTTTTTTTTTTTTTGTCTGTGTTTGTCGGGCATTTATCTGTCACAAATCAATAGCTTAGTGGACACCATAAAAAAAAAAATTTTTATTAACAATAAACGAAACTTTAAAAAGGATCAGTTTCATTTATTCTACTATTAACAAGTAGTATAGACGTGCTTAGCATAAAGGAACTAAGGTCCTAAAGCAATTTCGTCAATTTTATGGTTTATTTAACCTATGTAAAAAATTAGGTGTACAACATAAAAGAATTGCTGCGTTCTGTGAAAGAATAGCATGCTTTTTTATATGTCTAGGAATGCAGAAGATGGTCTAGGAGGGCAGAAAATGGGCAGAAAACCGCCATTGCAAACCCAAAGCTATACCACAATCCAATACCCCACCCTGCATTTGTGCCAGATTGCCTGTTTTTGGAAGACGTCTATTCTAGGCACTTTTAGTACACCAACACAAACAGCAGCATAGCGCTGAAAAGGCCGACTCCTTCGGTCATTAAAAATAAAGATGTTTCCAAACCAAGCAAGGTACAACAAGATTTAGCTTGCTGCTTTCTTAGAGAAATTTTCATCCAGTTTGCAATATTACAACAAATAAATCCAAATAAGAGCCACGAGTGTGACACAGTTAATTATACAAACACATACAACTTGTATTTTCCCTGTTTTTATACCAGGGCTGAAAGTCTTTTGCTAAAAGTTCTGGTGCAGTGGAGAAATCTGTTTACGTGCAGCACTAACCTACCGTAACACCCCGAGAGATGCTCCACCCCTGAAAGACAACCCACCCCAATTGCTTTTATTAATTTGCTAGTTTCTTTTAAACACCGAAAGATAGCCCACTCCTAGTAATTGTAGTGTTCGGATCCATTATGGCCTCAGCGTAAATATGTCTCGTTAGCTACAACGGGATGCAAGCGACTGGGAAGTACAGCCATCTTTGCTTGATTGTCCCTCGCCGCAATAACAAGTTTGGCAGAAAAACATGATCTAAAATAGTGTTTGTTTTTTTTTTCAAATTTTCTAGTTTGTACACCATAAGTTGCTTATTTTCATTCGATTTCCTCTCGATTTTAAGGGGGGCTGTCTTTCGGGACACTACGGTAGATGAAAAATTGTTTGTGTTCAACGCTAAGGTATGGCACTAAAATGCTAAAAAGCTCCGACGTTACATTAACACCAACTGTGTCGCATAGTGAAGACTGGCACAAACTGTCCAGATAAAAAACAAAGTCTGAACTTACTCAGGAGCCGTAGATCTCCTTCCCTGTATCCATGCTGATCACTATGGCACCATTGTAACCTGGAATGAGAGAACATGTTTTGGTTCCCTTAACACAAACACAATGCTGAGACAAACAGAGGTGCCACAAGTGACTCTAGGTAACCTATGCACAGGGGGTCAATTAAAACTCTGACATTGGAGACAGCAATACCTAAGATAATGTTACAAGCAAACCCATTATGTTCCACATTCCTGAAAATAAATTCAAGAAATAATGCAAAAGTCAAATCTGAAATATCCGTCCACAGAAATAGATAAAACTCTGGTGTTCTTTTGAAAAATAATAAATTAAGTCTGATTCATAATTCAATTTAGATAACCTCTCAGCATGTCTGAATAAAAGGTGCCCTCCCACTTACAGAATTGGTCTCAATGGACAGGAATGCTAAACATATAAAGAAAAAAGGGGCACAAACAATGTAGGTTGCGGGGAAAATGTTTAACGAGATTGGCGTTCTAGACATTGTCTAGAAAGTACTGCTATTGAATAAAGGGTCATGCGGAATACCAGATAAAACTAATAAAAAATTACGGAATTAAAACTGCATAGAAGAATTACGCAAATACCAGTGAGAAAAGTTTCCACATCCTTGGACAAGAGATTGTGTCATAAGAATTCTGTGAACATCAAAAAAGTTTTTTTCTACAAAATTAGTACCTATTGGAAAAGAAGTGAACATGACGACGGAGAAGTCAAGCCCACCTAGAAAAGTTTCCACATCCTTGGACAAGAAATGGTGTCATAAGAATTCTGTGAACATCAAAAAAGTTTTTTTCTAGAAAATTAGTACCTATTGGAAAAGAAGTGAACATGACAACGGAGAAGTCAAGCCCACCATGAAGAGTTTCTCGTTTATGGTTATGAAGCTCGAAGTTTAGAGGTTTGCCGCATCCACATTACAGTGTTCAATAACACAAATGACTTTCTGCATGAGTTTTAAAGTCACTCTAACTTCACATTATTTTCACATTTTAAAGCAAAGCTAAATCATTTCTAAGATTATCTGCTTTATAAAAGGTATGCGGGTGAATATCCAAGCCAGATTCCTATTTTGGTTTGCTGCTGTTTAAAATAAGAAAAAAAAAATATTAAAATATGTATTTCGCTAAATTTACACATCTTGGAAAAAATGGAGAGACAATTTGATGCCAATCTTAGCCATGTATAATGTCAATGAGTCTATCAGTATTAAAATAAATGGAACATTTGTGGAAACCCAAAGCAGCAAAGCCATTTTTCCTCACATCAGAAAGCATTATCACTTTTATTCTGGTGTCCTCGGCTTGCTTTTCTGGGTGGTTCTTCAAAGAGCTCACAACTAACTATACACACGGTAGTGTTTTTTTTTTATTCCACTGAAAAGACCATCTACTACTCAAAGTGGACAAAACCATCTGAAGAAAATGTAACGGCTTCACTTTCACATATTTCCTCTGCATGGTAAATGGAGCTTGTCTATTGGGCAAGCTCTTTTGTGAATAATGAAGCATAGGACATCTGTAGGAAAGTGCTTCTGTTATCGACCTAGTGGATCAAGATAACGCAAAAACAGTAGTTTGGGCCCGTGAGGTCTTTTGCCCGATAACATAGGGGAAAGGTGTAATGCATGTTCCGCGTGTTTTTTTCGTTCTTACAACAGCGTGTTTTAAACAATCGCATTTTGAAGGGCTCTAGAGGTTAGGCAGTAACAATCTGAGTCAGCCAAAATGTCTGCATAAAATAGACCTAAAAAGTAGGATCCAAGGTGCTGGAACGCAGTACTTCTCGGTTAATTTGTCTCCGCGAAAATATAAAATAACTCCCAAGTTATTTTCTTGACACTTTCGTGCACGAACTGCTCACATGCAATCTGCAGTAGCTACGTGGGTCGCGCCAGATGTCAATACGCGAAGATGCACAGTCAAACAGGCAAAACCTCCTATGCGCAGGTTCACAAATAGTAACGCTTAGTAGTCCTGATACGTCAAGTACAGTAGATATATCGTATCGAAATATTGAGGACGCGAATGAGAGCTTGCCTTAATCTTCATGCGCTGTTCCCAGCGTTCACGCACCTTTAAATTCAGGCCAATTTTAGCGCTCAACGGGCGGACCGAGTTTAATCCGCAATTAAAAATAGTTAGGTATGATAAGAAGAAAAAAGAACAAAAAAAAAACAGGTTACTATATTTTAGTTTGAACGATTTTACAGCCTTGACTGAACTCAACCTCAAAGATATTTCAAAGCACCGCGCACACTGATGGAATCAACGGAACCAATAGAAGTGACGCCAATCCATTATTAGAAGGTGCCCAAATATTACTTAAATGGCAAATTTAAACGTGAAGCGGAAACATAGGGGCAAACGATAGGAGCCTACGAGCGCACTGCTCGAGCCCTTCATTTGGGCCCGAACGGCACATCAGTGGATTCAAACTGCACTGTCAAACTCTCCGGAGTAGTTTTCCGAAAACGCGTGTTTCCGAGAGAACGCGAAAAAAGGCCACCGAAAGGACGCTCCGGGCACGGGCGACTAGAAAACGAAAGCCTCCATAATTGCCACCCTCAGCCTCGAAGGAGCGGCTCTGCACAGAATGCCCGATTCAAAAACAAACCACAACCGAAATCGGACTCGAAGACCGTTCAACAAACACATCAGCTGTTTGCGGCGATCACGAGCACAAACATCGGCTTCAAACGTGCACAGAACGAGCCGTACCACCCGCGAAACAAATGGGCAAAAACGTCGCCATAGACGACGTTGTAGGACACGAAATAATAGTCAATGAGTTCTTGATCTAGGGTAGCATTTTCATTTTGTTCGGGGGCCGACCGACGCTCCCGCGGACAAACGACCAGCCGCAGAGACGGGCCTTGACGGCGATTATCCGTGCATGTGATGAGCGAAAGCGAATTGGGAACTAATACGGGTAAATAAACCATTTACCGGCAATAATCTCAGGCTGCGGCGACGTTAAGGAGACGCGGTCCTCAGGGAGCCAAGCCTAAAACGGCGACGTGTAACAAACTCGATGGATTCGGACATTTTTTTGATTCAAACTGACAATAAAGGACGCTCCGGTGACACTTACCGATTCCCGGCGTCCAGGCGGCAAATTGGTAGGAAAATCCCGTAGAAAACACCGCATATGTGACGATAAAACGAGCCTCCTTTGTGTAGGGACCGGCGTTTCAGTGGCAAAAATGGAGAAGACCAGAGGAAGGAATCACGAACGCATGAGGTTTGTGACGCGTGACGTCACTGGCCGTTTCAAACAATGTTATTTCGAAGACGCTTTAATCGCGGCACGCGGCACGCGGATTTACGTGAACACATGGTCCTTTGAGACGCTGAAAGAGTCGTGGGGGCTAATTTAACCCCAACTGCACCGTTGTTCGACGCTGCGGGAGTTTGTTCAGTCTGCTTGCGAACGACATAGCAAAACAGAAATACAAAACAACATCAATAAAACAGGTACGCAAAACTAGTAAGCTCTTTTTTTATTTATTTATTTATCTCTCGCTAACTTCATTCATTCCGTCGTCTCAAACAAGCTTGTTAGCCTCAATTTCTTTTTTGGTGGGGAAATGTTCTGGTTATGCTGGCAAGTAGTAGCAACTGCCAGGGTACGGGGAGGGCAACAAATCGGAAGCTTATTTTAATGTGGGCATTTAAATTACGAAGACGCCAAAGCTACGAGGTGGAGGCACTGGGGAAGTGGGACTTGTGGACCCGAAACATCACAAGTGTTTCAGAAGTGGAAAAAAAACGTTCGGTACAGGGTCATAGGAAAAGTTTAGGGGGCAGTGGATTGGAGAGCACAGGCTGGATTAGGACCCGCAATATATACCAATCAAGACGTTTGCCCCAAATTACGCGCGAGGATGATCCCGCGAACGGCGACCGCACGCTCGGGTGGTCGAGACTCGCGGAGCCTGTGCGGCCATTGAAGCAGCCAAGGTTGGACCGCACGCATTTCATAACTCTGAGGCACGGTCTGAGAGGCATCTTATTTCTTTTTTGTTGGCGCCGCGGCTACGGCGCAGCAGTGGCGGCGGCGCGCCCCGCTGGCCCCGCTTTCCCGGGAAAGGCAGGTGACCTCCTCCAACATGGCTAGCAGCGCAACGGCAGACGGCAGCGATGGCAGCGCGCGGCGCGACAGCGGCGGGCAGCGGTGGCAAGCTGTGGCGGCAGTAGTGCTTTGACAGTATGGTGTGGTGTTGCTCTTGCTCGCTCTTGCTCATACGCGCACATACACCCTGCCGAGCCTGACGCGTCTGCCAGTCAAAACAAAAGAGAGCGCGTCGGGCGCAAGCGCTCCAGGGATGCAATAAGCGTCAGACCCAACCACGCAATGACAAGCAGCGCCAAAATCCAGCATGTATGTAGACATGTTGGTAGGTAGTGCGGCAGATTCCAGCAGCAGAAACATCTTATCTGTGGGGCGCAGACGTAAAAGATATCATTCTATGTACATCGAAGAAGGTAACTTTTTTAAAAGGCACGGACATAGACAGGGAAGATACAGGTGAGCTGGTGAACTCAACATATCGTGAACCTCGTGAACATATCGTATCGAGACTAGAAACAAAAAGTTGCGAGTACGCTCAACGTTGGGTACGCTACGCTAGAGGTTCAACTGGCGCTAGTGTCTATGCGACTTCCGGGCGGCAAATTGAAGCAGACAGCAACCAGTCTGCTTTTGCGGTGCTCCTGTGTATTCCTATGGGAAAACGCGCGTGCATTTTGCCTCTTCGCCGAAAAATAACATGAAACACTTCTGTTATTTGGGTCGTACCGAATGCTATGTACCTTTATTAACACTGTAAGAGTGTACTTGCTTTAGTTAGCGCATTTTTCTACATCAATTAACGATGTTTAAAGGGACACTGACAGAGTATTTATGCTCGCCGAGGATTTTAGTTGTATATGACATGTGAGAGCCCCACTACCCAGAACAGAACTTGCGGCTCGAAATTCGTGTCTCTTTCGGCCCAAAAACCGCCGATCGAGAGCTGGCCAGTTTGAGTCGCGCTCACTCCCTTCTTCGTGGTCACACGACCACAAAATTTAACCGAAGTCGTAGGTCATCGAGGGCACACACACAATATTAAAAATAGAAAAGAAACACGATACCAATCTTTTGGGGTTTCTAAAAGGCTGCAAATGCATTATTTGGGAAAAAAGTATCACCACCACGTGACTTCCTCCAGTTTCGGTATTAATTCCAAGCTGTTGCGTTTTTTTTTTTTTTTTTTTTTTTTTTTTTAGCTTTATTAAAAATATACGTGACGCTGTAGCAAAATATTGATTGGATAGTCTTTGACACCATAATAAATCGTCTGGCAAAAAAAATTACAAAACACATTTTGGGGGGTGTCAGTGTCCCGTTAACTTTGCTATATTTCAAGGCCAAAGCTCTGTTCCAAAGCAGGTGTGTAAAAACAAGCTGAGATTCTAAGCAAAATAACAATCGAAATGAATATAGACCGTGTTCAAGGCTCGCCAGCCTTCCGGAGACGCTTATGTATATTGCGAATATTTAGGCCTCAATATCGAAAAAAAAACGCCTTTGTTTTGCAAGACCTAAGTCAGACATTGCGACCCATGCGTCTCTATGAATTGTGAAAAAGTTTTCTTGAATTTTCTTCTGCATTTTGTAATCAATTATAAACGGATTTTGTGGTATTGAATATTTATGTATGTTTCGATAAGAGCGGGAACCACGAGATACATATCTAACCAAATCAGCGGGCCTAGTAGACTTCCAATAGCCAAAAGGCACAGACGTTGTATTGTTTCGATTTATAAACATTTCACAGTAAACTAGCACGACTAGCTATTAGCTGTCATATTACTAAGACATAGAAGGTCACCACATCGTCGATATATTATATACAATTCTTTCCGAAACCAAACACTGGGGTTTGTTCTTTGGACATCGCACAGGTCACCAGGGAATGTCCTTTCACTTCCGTAATAAACAAAATTGGTGACACAGAAACGGTCCGAAACACACAATGAGTGTGTCATGGAGAGGGGTAGGAAATAAAAATAAATAAATAGGAATTAAATTGCCCAACCCCGATCTTAACGAAAATTGCGTTAAAAAAAAAAAAAAATAAAGTATTTAGGTTCGAGCGGTGGCAAGGCGATAGGTCCACGCCTGGTGGAGAGTCAGACCAAGAAGTCGACGGCACGTAAAGGTAAAATAAAAAAAATCAATAATTTATTAAAGACGTGAAAACTCAGCCGCACATGGCAAGAACAAAAACCAACTCCTCCGGGCATTCCCTAAACGGGACGCAACCTAATGCGGGCGAACACGCTCTCTACATCACCGCCTAGGCCGTTACGCCATGACAAAATAAACCCAACAACTGAACAGTGCTAACAAACAGTTAGTAAAAAAACATTGAAAAAAAAAAAACGTTCAAAAACGCGCTTGAGAAACTAAGTTCAGCGGGGCGAAGAAACACACACGAGTCGGTCCCACGACACTGAAGTCTGGCAGGATGACGGCGTCCAGATGATGCTCGAATCTGTTCCTCCCTCTATTACGCACATTCACGACGGCTGTGCGGAACAGTGGCTGTGCGAAAGAAAGTGAAGAATAGATTCGAGCAAGCGATGCGCGAGAAGGTAACCGAGACTATGCCTGAAGCTTCATATCGGGAGAGGAGCTTTCGAGGTAGTTTCTGCAGTTACTCAAACTTTCTCTTTCCCCTTCTCTTTTTCAAAAGAACACGTCAGCCTGCGCTGACTTTTCATCTCGAGAGAAGCCCACTCTTCACAAACGGTTATAGTTGACAAGGAGGCTGACTTCGACCCAACTAGTCTCAGGCAAAATACAAACACAAGTATATTTACCAACACGCTCGTTTTAATGTCAGTCTCCGGGCTTTGCTGTTTCCAAAAGAGATAACCCTTTATAAGGACAGAATGAGCGGGTTGGTGTTGATAATTAAACTTAAACAGCCCCTTCTCGTTTTCTTCCTAACCCTTCGGTGCTATCGGATCTCCCCGGAGAGAGAGAGAGGAGCACGGCCGTTTCAAGGTAAGATAGGGCGCTCGAAGCTGGGGCAAACAGGCGGTATCGTTTCACGCATGCACGGATGGATGGTTTCAAATTTCCCCACATCCCTAACGAAACCGGCCCATCTTCGTGTGTGCGTCTGTGGGATTTCTGTCCCGCGCCGCCGGTTTTAGCGCGCACGCGGCGTTGTTTTGGCTGGCAGAACAGTTGTTGACCGTCGATATTGTAAGGCCGTGGTGTCCTCATCCTTTCAGGCAACGATTCCTTTGCTTTCCCTTGTGCAATACTCTGACTGACTCCTCCTGGGTGGCTGTCACTGTTCGCCGCGTGAACGACACAATCGTACCATTCCACTCCTCGTGACACAGGGTGCGGTGCTCGCTCTACTGTCACGGGCCGTCCTATCTAACACAACGAGCGCGAAAGGTCGTGGTCATCTGCTGGCTCCGAAAGGGCGGGACGTTCATGCAGGCCAATGAGGGCCCCGGATCATACGACCTTTGTCGACTCCTACACGTTAAAAATTTACGACACCTGCTGGTCTGTTAAGAAGTGTTGCTTTCTCTTTTTGGAACTCCTCCGATGTAGCTTGCCGCCTATAACAAAATTTAAATAATCAATAAATATAACAGGGTGGAAATACTGCATTTCAACTTTATGTGGGAACGTTGAAAAAAATAAAAAAAACTATTTCCAAGCTTGTGAAGACGCGCAATTCGTAAGTCCATTTCGTGCCGTAAAAACACGTTTTTGTACGATATTGATGCTTAAATATAAAACATACAAACAAAATATACACTTTCTAGACTTGATTTTCACGTAGAAAACTATCACATCTACATTTTAACAAAAAATAAAAAAAAATAAAAAATGGGTTTTTTGAGAAAATCAATTTCAAAAATGGTACTTTTTGGTTTTCACGTAACATTAACGTAAACGTACCGCAAAGAATATTTCATACAACCAAGTCATTTTATAATACATATAAAGAACGTGTTTTGGGCTCTCTGTGGACATAAAAAGTATTAATGTAACCCAAGTAGATCGCCAGTAATTAATTGTCAAAGTTCGTCAACAATTGACCGAGGGGGCGTTTTTGACATTTTTACAGAAAAAAAGCAAAACGCCTAAAATTATTTTATGGTATTGGAGCCTTTTAGATGTGTCCACAGAGTGCTTTAAAAAAGATAATATAATGTGGACTGAAAATCCACGGCGAGAGATGAAGCGAAACATCCGACCCACGACGGGTGTGAAAGACACTGCTTTTCGCCGCGGCCTCTTTAAAAATTCATAAGTCGCGAACAAAAAATCCGACGAACTTGCGGTCTGCGGCGACTACGTTTTTAGAAACTGCGCCA